GCCGAGGAGGGGTCAGAGCTTGCAGGAGGCGAGAGACTTCGGGTCTGTGTCCCTGTTACAAAGGAGCAAAACGCGCCCCCAAGATTTCGTGTCTGTTGGCAGCCTTTTCGGAAAGAAGCCAGTTCAGCTACTGGAACGACCCCGAGCGAGCCTGGCAGGCTGGAGAAAACTTTGCATGTTAAGTAGTCGCTCCATCACGGAGGAGGGAAAGTGTCAAAAGGGGTCGTGGCGCGCCTTTCGGGAGACGGGCCGGGCCGGGCTGGGCTCGCAGGACTCAGCGGGCAGCGGGCGCCCTGGATCCGCCCCGTGGCGGTCCGGTGCGACCAGCCCAGCAAGGCTGGGGCGAAAGGGAGCCAAGATCGGACGGCCCGGGCCCTTCTCCCCTCTCCCTGCAGCCCCCCGAACAGCCCAGGGACACCTGAGCCAGGGTCTGTCTTTAAAAAACAAACACACGCACATTTCATGCATGAAATTAAATTAAGTTACCCAGGGAATGAAGAAATGAGGGATTCTCTGCGGGGTCGTGTTTTTGTTTTGCTTTTATTTGGTTGTTCTGTCTGCTTCACTATCTCTGGGAAAAAGAACTTCCGCACCTCACGGGGCAATTTACTTTGGGTTATTTTTCCACATGGAAACTGAATGACTTCAGTGGCATTTAACCCAAATATCAGACAATCTTTCCCATGACAACAGATGGTGGTATCAATGGGGAGGCAGTTGGGAGGTCAACAGTTGACAGGAATTGGAGAGCCACCAGGACTTCCCTCAGCTGTGTATGGCACAACCGTTCAACATAATGAGTCAGAATAAGCTCTTTGCAAAAACATGAACTATAACCCGCTATTATTGCTGGGTGGAAGCTGATTTTTAAAGATGATCAATTTGGCAAGACAAATCACTTTATTTTTTAAAGAATTACCTTTTATTTAACTTTATTTTAATTTGACAGGGGGGTGGGAGAGGGGGAGAGAGAGAGAGAAAGAGAGAGAGAGGAGAAAAGTGTGAAAGTAAACCACCAGGGCCGACTGGAATCATGGTCAGTCATATGGGAGTACCAGTGCCCTTAACCACCACGCCACCTGCCGGCCCCAAGACAAATCACTTTAAAAAAAAATAATTATTTAGCTTTATTTATTTGCTTATTTATTTTAATTTGGCAAGACAGAGAGAGAGAGAGAGCAAGCAAGCCACCAGGTCCGGGGCTCGAACTGTGGTTGCCCTTGTGGGAGTCCAGCGCTCTTAACCACCACACCACCCGCCAGGCCCAATAAATCACTTTTTAAAGTAATTTATTATTTTTCTTTTACCTGAGTTTTGTCAGAGAGAGAGAGAGAGAGAGAGAGAGAGAGAAAGAGAGCGAGTGAGCACACATGCTTGCCACCAGGTCTGAGATTTGAACCTTAGTTGACCACTAGGGAATTCCAATGCTTTAACCACCACGCCACCTGCTGGCCCCAAGACAAATCACTTTAAATGAAGGGTTGTCAGAACAGTAAATAGGTAGGTCTTTAATGCCAGGAGAGAGAAAAAGAGTTCTTGTGCTTGCTGGGAGGGCACTGGGTCCTGGGCAGATGGGGGCTGAGACTGTGGAACTGAGCAGGGGAAGCCGCCCAGCCTCCAAGCCGTCTCACCAACCTCTGCAGAGCTGGAGAAAATCAGTAACTTGAAAAATTTGCTTTCATGCCATACCATTAACCGGTCCCCCCCCCCCCCCCTATTCTATCTAATGGGCAAAAACATGGGTGATGTGTGCTTTTATACTTAACCAGGGGCCTCTGCCTCCCAGCCAAGCTTTAAAAACCTTCCTTAACTGTGGTTTACCAGTAAGCGGTATCCAAGAAGCCGGATAAAAATCCACTCACAAATGCTCGATTCTGCAGAGACCGAGTGACAGTGTCAACACGGATGGGAAAACCAAATAGTTCTGTTGTCAGGGGCGCTGAGGCAATTAGGAGAACCTGTAACATGAGGCCTTTCCCCCGGGGCTCGCTCCGATACTTTCTCAACACACTGTAAATAGCAAAAAGGCGGATGTTTATGTGAACGTGTGTGTGTGTGTGTGTGTGTGTGTGTGTGTGTGTGTGAGCGCGCGCGCATGTCTAGAAAGGAAGAGCAAAGACTATTTGACCAAGGTTGTCAGAAACGTTTAGTCCTAGAATAAACAGGGGGCTGTAACTGTAAATGCTGTAGATCTGAAAAGGTCCCCTGACAGCATGCAGTGTCCCCGCGCCGCGACAACTCGGGTGCGCTTTCTCGGTCGCCCGGTTCTCAGCCCGCAAGAGCCTCCGTTTCCTTCTCCTCGCGGCCTAGGGAGCGTGAGCGCCACCCGGGGGCGAGGCTGAGCGAGGCTCTGCTCCCCTGCCATGCCTGCCCATCTCGCCTATCGCTGGCTAAGTCAGCCCGGCCCCCGACCTCTCTCCCCTCCCAGGATCCTCTCCTCGCACTCGCCCTTCCCCGTGGGCTACCTCCTCGGTCTCCCCAACTCCTTCCCCCGCCTCCCTTCTCAGCCTCCCCGGCTTCTCTTCCC